CGGCTCAGCTGCTCAACAGTCACCTAAAGCAAGATACAACATCCCACCACACCAACGACGAGCCCATGCCCGCAAAGCAGCCAGTTTCTCTGGGCAAACAATTAAATGCACCAGATCGTTCTCTTCCAGTGGGTCTACACACAGTGGTATCAGTAACAATAGTTCCAGCAGCAGCAGCAGCAGCAACAACAACAACAACAACAACAACAACAACAACAACTATAACAGCAACAGCTACAACACCGTCATCAATAGAGCTGTAAAGAGTGTCTCGTTCGTCAACTTCACCCCCGAAGATAGCCACAAACTGCTCACCGGCGTTGCACCCAGCGGAAGCTCCAAGACCAAAGCCAGGCGCGAGCAAGAAGCCCGTGACAAGAGACGAAAGCTATCAGAAGCTGCCCTGCTAGCTGTCCGACGAGCAGGGGGCGACGTTGAAGCTCTCGAGGCCGTTCTATGCTAAACTCCTTGCTTTTTTTCTAATAGTTACCAATATAATATCCACTGATACTCTTTTTAACTCCAGCCCCTGGCTTCTGCTTTCAACACCATTTGACCCTGTATATAGGAATCGTTTTAATACCTCTCCAAGCAAACACTGGCGCTCTACTGTTTCTTTTCTTCCTTGCTCCATTCCTACTTTAACTTCTATGTACTTCTCTTATTCATTTCCTATGTTGTTTGCCGTACCATGACCCCTTTCTTCCTGTTGTCTAACTAACTCCCCTGGGCGGCTCTCTGCTGTGCTTTAAGAACCGAGACGATTTAAACTAGATTCCAACCATAGCGGCTACATGAATGATACTCAACTACGATTCAAAGATGGAAATCCTCCTTTCACAATGGTATGAAACGTGGGCATATGCATGCGAATGCGTTTTTGGCTTTGATACTTGGACGCTGCTGTGGCTATCAAAGCACCGTAATAAGCCGTTGAGACATCCCACTTGCTTGACAATGCCGAATCTAACTGGCATGTCTTAGAAGCTATGTAAACCCATGAATGCATTGCCGTCTGCATGTATGTCAAAACTATATATAACATCTGCCCCTTAATATGTATAAAGGCGGATACCTACCATGCAAAGAAGTAAACTCGCATGCGTCCGGTAGAGGTATCTGTCCCTTTGATCGACCGGAAGGCGTTAACAACGAATTGAAGAAAGACAATCCGACCCTTCCACCGGTAACAGGGTGATGAAGGCCCAAGCCGTAAATAGATGGGTGCCCCTTGAATAGCCTATTTATACAGACAGTCTATAGTTCATTCGAGAACGGTTTCAATGGATATTTTCCATTCAATAAAATCCGGAATGCAAATATATGCCAAAGAGATGAAACAGGCCAAGCCCATTCCGCTTTTATATTCAGAAAAGATCACACGCTTGAAAAAGGGTATGCATATTGTACAAGTTGGTAAAGAAGAAACCAATGGTGAGAATAGTGGGTATAATGTGTTGAAGTCTCATCCGCCTAATGGGGGCTGTGATAGGCTGAGTAGGAAAGCAGGCTGCGGCGGCTGTCTTTCTCCTCCGTCCTGCTGCTGCAGGATGGTGTCGCGCGTCTGTTCCAGTCTCATCGAGGCATGGAGACGGCAGAGAAAGAAATGGTACAAGTCAAATCATCTCTTCGAGACGTTGGGGGTCCATGACTCAGGCTGCCAGTTCTCGCTGGGCCCGCCTGCGGCCCTGTCCCATGGATTTTTCACCTTCTTGCCTCCCTTTGCATCCGGCTGTTGTTCCTGCAGTACCTCTGCTGTGCCGGCGCCAGTACCCTGTCTTGTAGTGTGGTAGGACGGCTGCTGTGATTGGAGAGCTGGAGCATCCTGCTGTGCCTGTTTATCGAGGAAGGACGGCTTGCTTGCCCACCGTTCGTCCGCCTGCTGCGCAAGGTATTTGATCCGCTGCTGCCGAAGGAGTTCATTCTGCTGTTCTTCAATGCTCGGCGGCTCAGGCCGGACGTATCGAAGCCACTGATGCCATTGTGCTGTCCATCCATCCACAACTGTCAGCTACGGTCTCTGTGTTCTGTGTTGGTCGTCTATAAGTAGATGCCAGACTTACGCGGGACTTTGACGTCGGCGTAGTGTATCTTCGGACTGGCCTTCACAATGCGCCGCAACCGACCGGGCTTGAGCGAATCCTTAAACTCCCAGTAGGTGTTTCCTGCGAGATCGTTCCCTGTGATGGAGTATCTCCATGTCAGTGTGACGATTTTTCCATCGAGCCGAAGCGAGTGTTATGCTTACCGACGAGGAACATCCTTCGCCAGGGGAGTTTAAGGCTCTTCCATTTGAACCAGAGACTGTTTATCGGACTCATGTCTGGCTGTTCCCTCAACCCGCGTCACCGTCTCATGGCCGGTAATATAGATGGATGATCCTGATGAATTCTGTTCCTGTCGAGCGAGGACTGTGGCTGAGGAAGAAGGTTGCGTGGCGGGCGTTCAGCCTTAGTTAGCGGGCGTAGAGTTAGTTAAACTAGTTAACTTGGCCATCGCATCTAGATAATAATAACCAAGAGGGCGACGACGTCACCGTCAACACTCTACACATCCAACACCACCGACGCTGGTTGACAGCCATCTTCTCGCAGTTTTCTGGCGGCAGGGAGCAGTTCGACGATTTCCTCTGCCATCGAGAGCCAAAGGGCGATGCTCGCGGCCTCGCAGACTGCCCCGCTGATATAGATACATCCCGCCTCCCGACGGTCACCCCAGACTCAGCAGTCGAATCAGACACGATGGCGTCGGTTACATCGCTAGACAAGGACCTGCGCAATATGCGACTGTCCAAATATACGCCCCAGGCCGCTAACGAGGTCCGAGACTGGATCGAAGAGACGCTGCAGGAGAAGCTGCCGAAAGGCGACCTACTGGAAGCCTTGCGCGACGGAGTAGCATTATGCAGGTACCTAGGTCTATCCCCTTTTGTACCCTTGCATTACTTTGTTATTTTTACTGGCATTATTCAATAACTAACATGGACTTTGGCAGACTGGTAAATCTTGCCGTGGGCCCTCCAGGGGTCAAGTTTAAGCAGTCGAGCATGCCGTTCGTTCAGATGGAGAATATATCCCATTTCCTTCACGCCTGCCAGAAGGCTCCTCTCAGCTTACCTCCCCACGATGTTTTCCTTACGGTTGACCTCTACGAGTCCAAGGACCCAGCCCAGGTTCTACAGTGTCTTGGAGCGTTCAGTCGCAAAGCATACGCTCTCCAACCAAGCAAGTTCCCGCGTGCCATCGGGAAAAGCAAGACTGGCGCGTTGAGTCCCCAAATGAGTGGATCTAGTCAAGGTGGGCGGTTCGGTTCCCCATACTCTCGACCCCGAGGCCAGAGCAATGTCAGTGATGTAGGACGAGCCAGTCCTACGATGCCATCCGGCCGGAGCAGCACCGCTTCACCACCAACAAAGACGAGCGCATGGAGCAGTAAGGCCGATGAGGCAACCACAGCTCCGGCTTGGAACATTCACCAGTATGGCTACATAGGCGGTGCAAGTCAAGGGAGCCTCGGTGTAACATTTGGTGCGCGACGGCAGATCACCACTCCTGGCCCCTCGGTGCCCAGCCTTGCAGAGAAAGAGAAACGTCGGCGAGAGGAAGAAGAACAACAGGCTAAACGAGAGGCGGAGGAAGCGGAGCGCCAGCGAGCAGCCCGGGAAGCCGAAGAAGAACGCGCAAAGGAAGAAGAACAACTACGCTGGGAGGAGGAAGAGAGGAAACTTAGAGAACAAGAACGGCAGAAGGTTGAAGAAGAAAAGAAACGATGGCAAGAAGAACAGCGTCAGTGGGAGCAGGAAGAGGCTCGCCGTCAACAAGAGGAAAAGGAACTGGAAGAGAGATTGGAAAAGGAGAGGCTTCACAAGCGTGAAGCTGCGGACGCAAGGTTAAACGGACAGTTCTTGAGCCAATATCAAACTGCCCAGAAACCCGTACGAGGAATAGCATCCCCACTGCTAGAGCAAAAGGCTGCTGCGTCTAGTGAAAGTGAACGTATCAAGGCACTGGAGCGTGAACTGGAGAGGGCAAAAGAACGAGAGAAACAGTATGAGCTTGAACGCCAGGAACTTGTTGCACTACGCGGATCCCCCCAGCCAGATGCCAGCCCCCGAGTTCGTTCACCAAATCCAGATGGGAACAGGCCAACTCCGACTCCCCAGAAACCCAGTTATGATCTCGCCTCCCAAGAACAGGAGCGTCGAATGCTCAGGGGTGAATGGAATGTACGCAATAAGGAGCAAAGACCAACAACTCCAACTCCAGCTCCTCCGTCACTACCACCTCGAGAGCTCCCTACTCCTCCCGCAATGCCACCAAGGGATACCAATCCTCCAACTTCGCCCCGCCCTCTTCCAGACCCAACAAACTATGCCAACAAGAATCAGCCTCAGAATCGCACTGATCGCTTCTTGAAAGAGAACCCAGCTCCCATTCCTAGAAAGCCAGTTGCTTTCCGACCACCGGAATTCTCATCTACAGCTGAAAAGGACGAAGAGGATAGACGACGCGTTGAATCTACTCAAAAGACTCGGGCCGGCGGATGGGCCTCGAAGTCACTGCTTGAAAGGGAGATGGAACGAGAACGTGAGCGGCAGCGTGAATGGGAGGAGAATCAGGCTCAGACGAAAGACGCTGTTAAAAGGGGTGTGAAGACCGCTGGTACTGGGCCTGGTGAGGGAGGATGGGATGTACATCAGTACGGTTACCTAGGAGGAGATAACCAGAATAATGCAGCACCAGGAATCGGGTTCGGTGCACGACGACAGATCATTGGTCCTCGTCCACCACCCTAAATAAAAAGTGACGATATGGAGTGGCTGGTATATAAGATAGTGTTGGAAAGGGAGAAACGAAGATACGTATTTGTAACTGTTCTTACTTGAATGATTTAAGGTACCCTTGTCTATTCTATATCCCTCGTTCAATAGACTTTCCATATCTGGCTGGCGAGCAAAGACATCATTATGCTATTCTCTCGATCACGATGTAGATTCTGCGTCATTGCGACCCAATAACGATGTAGTCTGGTTCTGGTTCGTTGGGTAGAAGGTTGTTAACAAAGTGCACCATCCTATCTCCGCTCTCAATGAGCCACACCCATCCAAACTCCTCGGTCAGCTTCTTGTTCTGTCCTCTTTTGACGTCAATCCGCGCCTTTTTGGACCGAGCCTCAATCCCCTTTGCAACAGCATCTGACAACCGCGGCCTAGAGAATATCAGCCCACTGATTGCAAGGAGGCGTATCAAAGACTCCAGCAAGATTGACACCCTCGCGTTATCAATCACGCTGTTCGTCTTTGCAGTGAAAGGGAGGAAACACCGCTCAAGCTTAGACTGGCTCAGAAAATTCTCTGTTGAGGCCGGTGCAGCATTCTCTAAGATGCTAAATAATAGCATTTCGCAGAGAGTAGTTTGGCAGGCAGGAGGGAAATGGGTGAGTACGGATGGGGAGGCGAAGAGCTGAAATGTAGGAAGTGGGAGATGTCGGATGAACTCAACGTAGAAGGAGTACAGCCTGGGCAGCGTCATGAAATGCTCTGGTATACTGTTGGAAACGCAAGAGAGCAAATATAGAAGCCGTTGGCGGATGGTCAGAGACTCTAGACTGCCCAGGTGGTCTAGTTTGTCGTACTGAGCACTCAATGGGCCATCGTCTCCATGGTCAGAAGGGATATCATCTTTTCCAGATTTTTTCCTGGTAGATCGTCGCTGACGCTTGACTCGGGCCTCAACCCTTTCGGAGCCCCCCGAAGTCTTCTGGATAGGGTCATCTTGATCCTCTTCATCTTCCTCTTCCTGGTCGGGGTTGTCAAGGTAATCTCCATAGATTTCCTCGTCGATGTTGATGTCGCCTTTTCTTCGTGAGGCTTGAGCCTTTTCCTTTGAGACCTCTTGCAGTTCGTTGCGGAAAATCTCTCTGAATTCGTTTGTAGATGATTGCGAACCATCAGCAAAAATCGCCCTGAGGATTCTCCTATCACTGCCTACATGGTTTGAAGTCGTTGATATGTAGTTGAATATTAGACTTTCAGTGAGGATTGAACAGTCTCTCTTGGATTTTGAATCGGCAGGAGGCATTTCTTTGAACTCCTTTTCTCTTGCCTTCCAGTCATCTTCCAGGACATCGCACATGAATTGTAAGAAGAGGTGCCAACGGGCCCATCTTTTAGGATGTAGTATTGAGCAGTTAAGCGCCCACCCCACGACGTGCCAGAAGTCCTCTGCACGCGACCATAGTGAGTTTCCTTGCGCAAGGTCTAGATTTAAGGGTTCAACGCGTGTGCCATCCGCGCCACTCAAAGTCGATTCACCGTCAGTTGTATACTTCCTTTCATTCCTCGAATTGGCAAAGCGGTCAAAGACAAAGGTATCCCTAAATCGGCCACCAATGGGTCCTAAGATCTTGTTGGCCAAATTAAGCAAATGTAGAGCAGAGTTGGATGCTGTGAGATATTCGTCTGACTTTGACCGCGTAGTCGTAGTGGGGTGTACAGTCAATGTTGCTGCTAAGGCGAGGAACTGCGACGGGGGAGCAAATACCTTCCCGGAAGCAGTAGACCGGGAAGATATAACGCTTGATAAAAGATTAAAGGCCTGTGTGTCTATATAGAGTCAGTTATGGTGGGGGAGGTTCTATATCCATGTGTGCTAGGGGCGGGGCCTACAGAGTCTTTCTTCCAGATAAGCACTGCAGTAATGGCGTAGTTCAGATGGCAGAGCCTGCACCGGGGGATAGCCAGTCTCCGAAGCCATGGAGTGGAAGCAGCTGGCCTTCTGCGCTATTAGACGTCTTTGGTGGAGGAAGCTCCGGCGCGCAAGAGGCCCTTTCATGCTGTCATGATAAGCTTCTGATTATATAATAACTTAATTGTCCTCCTGGCTCATGCTCGATGAGATCATTCATCCACAGCCCTACCAAGAGCAACTCTGCCACTGGAGATGCTACATATTGCCTGATCACGGTCGTGCTATGCTAAGTTATTATTATCGACTGTATTCACCCTCTTAATTCTCTCAAGTCAACAGGACAAAATTTAGACCACCACTCTTTTTGTGGGTTCCCCACTCTATACTTTTCTAACGTGCCTCACTTGTGCTCTTGTTGCCCTATATAAACAACTACACCTAGCTATTTTTTGAATTCTGTTTTTTTTTTTTTTTTTTTTTTTTTTTTTTTTTTTTTTTTTTTTTTTTTTTTTAGTCCATCTCGCTGGTATCAGGAAAATTGTTTCAGTTACGCCTCTTCTTTTGCACCCTGCTTCGAAATCGATTGCTGCCTGCATTTCTTGAGTTCCTTTTCTGCAGAGGTTGAAGCCCGTTAAAGATGCATCCATCAGTTCCATTTCAACGAGCATTAGCAATATTACCTTATATCTACCGTCATTCCAGTGCCCACCTGCGAAGTAAGTTGACTATGTCGTCTAGTACGAGAAGAATACCCCGATTCCCCGAAATTCCCAAGGTCAACAGCTGCATGTTATCCAGCGACGTAGCCGACCGTCAAGGTGCCATTCCGATCTTCTCGACAGGGAAAGAGAGAGATGGCACATTTACTCCTAAAATCTCGAGGCTCAATGAGCACCAGCTTGGTGAACTATTACGGGGAAGATACCCATCTGACTATCGATTTGAAGTTATCCATCTAAGTAATGCAGCTCCCGAAACCAGCCTGATATATGATGCCCTGAGTGATCACAAGAGGTTTGTGTTCCCATATTTCTTACGCCAGCTGCGAGTACTAATTTCTTTACATCTGAAGAATTAGGGTAGTTAGCGAAAGAGCTTTTTCAATGACGACTGTTCGAAACGCCCCTACTCCCTTACATCAGTGGGTTGTATCTGGTGTTGCAGACTTGCTTACATCTCAAATGCCTGCTGGTACACAAGTCTTGTCTGATTCTTCCATTCAAGATCCCACCTCTTTGGAAGAAGACATGCCCATTACAGACCTACAACTCCTCTATCAAGAACACGGAGCTCTTGAACCAAAGGCTGTTCTTTCAGTAGAGACAGGATTTTCGCAGCAATACGAGAGTCTTCAGCACGCCGTCCGCAGAGCTATCGATGCTACTCAGGACGTCAATGTCTCCTTAATGATCAACTTGAAAGAAAAGCCAGCCTTTCGCGCTCCGTTTTCGCCAACTTCTTCCGGTCTATATCAGCATCCGATCACCAAGGAGTATGTGGACACGGCGACAATGCTGACGTACCTTAAGTCTTTAAGCCACACAGTACCATTGCCTAAGAATCCTGATGACCGAGAAAGCCCGTTGTTCTTCCTTGGGACCCGTTGGGTTGGCCGGGTTGAAGGCACCTTAGAAGTCTGGGTGCGTGACAAAGTTACCCAGAAAGCTGTCCGAAAACTTGATCCAATCGTAGGTGTCCTACAAATCCCTCCAAGTTAACTTAGCTAACTTATCTCTCAATTTAGCTATTTTACGGCTCGAAACTACGGGTTGATAAGGACACACCCTACATCGACGCTAGAAATGAGGATGTTCAACTGGGTCTTAATCTCTCTGACATAATCATCTCTGCTAACGACGATCTGAGGAAGCCGTTCGTCGTTGATTGGGTGAAGCTAAGAGAATGCATCAATCAGGGCCGGATGGCATTGGCTAGGAGTCGGTGCCGGAAAACTATGAAGCATATTGCAGAGTTGAACGGGAAGAAAAAGTGAAAGGAATGTTACGTTTGATTTTCACAGCAGTTTCAGTAATAACGTCGAACCTCATAATGAATTAAGCTCCACAAAAATCTAGAATTTGTTTATCTCATTGGATCAACCATTACTAGGCTTTTTCAGGTCCACCAATTGGCCCGTGTATAGTCACGTGCCAGATAACCATACAAGCATGTTTTCTCTTACGCGCCAAGCTGGATATCAGGGCGATCATTAAGCCACCAGGAGCAAGGTGGTACGTAAGTCTGCTTTCCTGGTTTACTTCTTTGGTGATGAATACTTTTTAATTATGTTAATACACGCAGAAGCAGCAATGAATTAATTAGTTAGCTAAGCATATCTGTACAGACTATTGCTAGGAATTAAACACATGCGGGAATCGATAGTAAAACAAAAGCCCAATTTACGCTGGGAGTCCGGCTGTTCTTTGGGGGAGAGAAAGAAAGAGATTGGTACAAGTAGCAGCTTCAAAAATTGATTCTAAATTGATCCTACAAAGGCCCTCTAAAACCCATGATGCTAACCCATTAGTCTTCCGGATCATCCGCCAACCATCCTATTCGCATGCGATGTGACTGTTAAAACCTGGGTTAGAAACCATGTCCCTACAATAGAGAAAAGCAGAGTGGGAAAACGAGGTGCAACTTACTATAGGTAGCTTTGGGATGACAACTCCGAGAACAGCTAGGAAGTTGATGATGAAATATGTCAAATCATAGTGGGTGTAATGCGTACTCAGGAGGAAGAGGATGATGGGAACGCTTAAAAGGAATTTCTTGGCCGGCGTATACTGGTCGCCATTGTCGATTTGTTCCCACATATTGAGGTTATCGTAAGCTCCGCCGTTGAATTCAAAGGGTACGCCTCTCACCCAATGGAACATGAGGAACGAGCCGAACATATAGGAGATATTGGTGAGTGTCCATGACGTCTCCTGTGACACACCTGGTATGATATCATAGAATATTTTCAATGCAATGATCAGAACAAAATGGATAGTCCATGCTCCTAAATCGTGTTTGTCAGTTTATGAAGCTTCCCAAATTTTATAACAGGGGGGTGGTAAGGAGTTATACTGCTTACCTTTTGCGTTAACCCAGTTCGCATTCAGGTTCGGTAGGGCTGCCTGGTCGCTGGTGTGTTCTATAGACTCAGGAGGCTCCTGGTATATGATACTGCTAGACCTCCTCCTCCGTCCAGCCCTGGTCTGACTCATCCCCGTATCTGGTGATAGATGAGAGGAAGCTTGCGTGGCTCGTGGTTCCAGCGTGGACGAGAAGGAGGTCCTCGGCACGATAAGGGGAGACAGTTTGGCGGTATTGAGGGCTTATGTAGCTACAGTCGATTCAACGTAGAAATGGGGAGGGAAAAAAGAGCAGGCAGCCGTGGTATACGAGGCGTTCCGTGTTATATCGACTTATCGAAAGCCGTTAAGCTGGTCGGTCACTTTAGGGAGTCGACGGGGGGCGTATAAGGCTGGAGTGAGCTGTCAGGCGGGGGAGCAGAGGGCCGACCCGAGGGATGACAGGGAGCAGCGCGTGTTGCAGGATACACAAGCGAGTGGCCCGTAGTCCTATAGGGGGCAGGAATACTCCGTAAGCTGGCAGCGAAGATGACGGGCAGGATATCGGACGAGCGATGCAAGGGTTGAGCTGGAGAAAAACCCAGCCAGAAACTGAGCCAGAGCAGGCCGGCCTGGAATTTATAATGCAGCAGAAGAAACGAATAACCCTGGCCAGATGCTATGCGACTGTCTGGCGCGTGTCTGTTGGAGTCGAGCTTGCTTGCTTGCTTTGCCTGCTGGTTGGTTTCTTCTTCTGCGTCTTGCGTGGTGGTTTCTTCGAGCTCCGAGACATGCAACTGCTGACTAAGACGGGGCCGCTCCCATGGCTCGCCTTTTTTTCTTTTCAGTTTCGACGGCTCTTTTTTTTTTGGATCAAGA